GGGGGCCACGGGAGCCAGACCTCTGACCTCTGACCCCCAGTCGAGGGGTGCTGGGGGTGGGGACGACCAGCCCAGAGCCAACCACCCGCCAGCTGGGGTCCCCAGGAAACCCACCGCTCTCCCGACCACGCCCTTCCTGAGCAGGTAGGGAAACTGAGGCCCGCCGGCCGTCACCGAGCCCGGGCTCTCCCCCTGCCCGCCCGGGAAAGGGGCTGGCGCTGCCCAGGCCCCCGTCACTGAGCTCACTGAGCTCGACAAAAGAGCTTTCAACGCGTCATCGGATTAGATCTGAAACTCGGAACGTGGCTTCTCCTTGACACACGGGCAACGCCTGTCCGCTAACGCGTGAGTGTGGGTGACATAGAGGTCACCAATTCTGCAACCCTGACCGTGGCCTCCTGGAGTCAGCGTGACAACGGCCGGCAGGGCCCGGCTGTTCCCGCACATGCTTGGACCTGGCCCTCCGCCCGCGACGCGGAGACCCACGCGGGAGTCGGCCCGCGTGCGCCGCCGGGCCCCAGGCCGCGAAGGCGACAGCCCCTTGCAGACGCCGCCCCCAGCCCCGCCGCCGCCGCCGGGCCCGCCTCACCGAGGAGTTCTGGCACTGCAGGCTGGAGCTGTTGAAACGCAGGGCGGTGACGCGGGCCGGGCTGCCCGGGATGTGGAAGAGGCACTCGTAGCCGCGCTGGCCCGACTGCGGCTGCGGCAGGTTGCGCGCGGCCAGGGTGATGGGCTTCACCACGCCCACCGGCACGTAGATCTGGGTGGAGGGCAGGATCTGCGGGCAGTCCTGGGGGGGGGCGGGAAAACGGCTGCGGCTGAGCTTGCGGTGGGGGCTTCCGGGTGGTCTGCGCCCCGCCGCGCCCCGGACTCCGGTCTGTGCATGGAGCCCGGACTCCTCCCGGCTGAGCCCCACGGCGCCCATTTTACAGACTGGCAAACTGAGGACTGCAGGGACGGCCGGCTGGGCCAAGAGCTGCACAACACGCTCAGGGCAAGCCTCCTCCCTCTGGTCCCGGCACCCCCGACCCGTGGCCCGTGTTCCACGATCCCGTCCTCCCAGGGACCCCACGAGCCCATCCGGGCCACGGGCCCTGGAGGAGAAGCAGTCGCCAGGGGGCCGCACGCTCTCCGCTGGGGGCCCAGGGAGTGTGTAAAAATAGCCAGAGCGCTGCAGAAAAACACCCCGGACCCCCCAGGGCCCCCGGCGTCGTTTTGGCGACAATAACTGATGCAACGGCTCAGCTTCCTTGCAGCACGGCGCTCCCAGCGCCCGCAGGAGACGGCCCCTCGGGGACCCCACCGCAGAGCCGGGCTGTAAATAGGGACGCCCAAAACAGGCTGGGATCCCCGAGCCCCGCAGCAGCTCCCAAGGCGGGCGCGACCCGAGAGCAGCTCTGCGGAGATTTTGGGAGCCCCAGGAGAGGACCTGGGGTCCTGGCCCGGCCCCCAAGGGGTCTAGGGGGGCAGAGCTCACATGGCGCAGCGGAGACGCAGGTGGTGGCAGATAGCCACCAGGGCCACCTCCCCAGCCCCAGAGAGAGGGATTAGTGGGCACGGTGGCCACGCCTACACCAGCACTGCCCCGGCCATCAGAGAGGCGCCCGGTGACCCCTCGCTGAGACTCAGGCCGGAGCCTCCCCGTGACCGGGGCCACCCTGGGCCTTGCAAACAGGGCTGTCAGGTCTCTTACGGGTCCAAGCCCAGGCCAAGCTGCTCTCTGCTGCCCTCCCCCACCTAACCCTAACCCTGACCCTGAGCCTGACCCTAACTCTAACCCTGACCCTGAGCCTAACCCTAATCCTAACCCT